GTTTTTAAGCACCGTTATCCCTTATTTTGTTTTGGTCCTTTTGTTGGAACTGGTTATTCTACCTCTCTTCCCTAAATTTGAATATTTTATAACTAATCCATTGAAAGCACTTGGAATGGCTAATATTCTCATCATGTTATCAATTGTTAGCTTATTTCTCATTGACTTGATTGGAAGGATTAGTGATAATATTTCTATTATGCCTTGCTTCTTCATATGGGAACCAGTTACTGAAACTATTCAGATTTCCTATTGGATAGTACTCATACCATCAGTATTAGCTGGTACATCATTTTTACTTTCTTACACATGTACAACTGAGTTCATATGTAGTCAGTCTCCTTTTGGCATGCACGGAATGATTATTGGACTGTTCTGGTTTTTGCATGGTGTATTTATGGACATTGGAGGAGGCATCTTATTAATATTTTATTATTACCCTATCCACTCAGTCTCATTTATGTCATGTACCTCATGGTTCACAGTCATGTTTTGTATAATTACTGTTATTGGATTAGTTGTGTTTATATTAATAGCTCGATGGTATGTCAATAGGGTCAGGGATACTGATCTTGGTCTACGTGCAGCAGTAGAGGAACACTGGGATAATAAACTGATGGCAGAAATTGCTTCAGATGACTGTGACGCATTGGAAGATTATATTATTTGTAGTGTTGATTGACATTTGTTGTTGTTACAATTTTTAAAAATATAGCTTCATTCTTATAGATATTTATAAAATTTGTAGCAGCTGATGCTTTTAGCATAATATTCATAAGCATGTTGTTGGAATAGCATCTCCTGGAGCAAAAGCTACAGTTATAAACTTGCAATCACAGGTATGAGGTTGTTTTATAGCACTCTGTAAGCCTGCCAAGCTCTTCAGTTTAGACATTCATTCAAGATTCATCAGCAATGACAGTAATAGTGAAAGTAGTAAAATGCTCTCTTTCTCATTTCCAATTTTGTTTTTCACACTGATAAGCATATACAGAACTATTGAGGGACTTAATTTTTGGATAAAAGGCTTTGGCATACCTAGGTATGCGTATAAATTTAAAAGTTAAAATTATACCTATAATTGATTTAATGCTACCAGTATACTTATATACTTACATCTTCTACAGTTGGAGACTCTTCTAAGTATTAGTTTCTCTGAAGTGGCCTAATGTATATTTCTGCATGGTGTACAGCAGCTTTCAAGTCTAAATTAAGTATTTAAACCTTTCTGGAGGCATTCAATTATCCACAAAGGCATCAAAAACTTACTTTATCTGACTGGGCCATTATTGATCAAAGTTAATGAGTATTCACTGCTCAGTGCTGATACTTAGATGACAAATCACGATATTTAATTGATATATTGCGTATCAATTATTTTTGTGTGCAAGCTCACATGGGTCGTCCCTAAAAAACGGATTGGACCAACAGACTCGAAAAGACTACAATCAATAACATTAATAAAATGGAGTATTTTTTTCTATACAAACTGTGTCACTGATTTCCAGCAACATAAATATTCATAAGTTGATGATATTCCTATGACACATTGTCACTAGTTAGCCTATTTTAAAAACCACTTTCTTCTACAAAGCAAGCAATATTGATACATTAATGGTGAAAGATGCCTCCTAACCCTAGTTAATCTGGAGAGCAAGAAATGATATTGTAAGTCATAGTCTGTGCCTACTTTATAATGATAGAGGACAATTAATATACTCAATGTATGCTGACATTACTTGATGCCTTTTACATCAGGACTTTGTTCATCAATGCTTCAGAGTCACAACTGCTTGTCCTGCTATAGGTCTAGCTACATGTATCTTTACACTTGATGCTATACAGATTGATGTTTCCTTCTGTGATATTGTACAGCTCATGTTTCATCTCCAATTATGTGTGTGTATTGACTAGGACTGTATCATGATGGATCAAACCGTCTATTAGACTCTGAATTTTCAGATTACAAGAGAAAATGATAAGGATTAATGCAGATAAAAGCCTCATTTTAAAGGTACACATACTCACAGAGCTCAATATGCAACAGCTTGTAGTGCATTTGTAAGTCAGGCCATCTCCATGTCTGGCTATATACCACTTGTGGTTGTTCTTATATGTGGAAAATTTGCATTTGGGAGTCCAGGGCACACTGAACAGTGATGCTTTTTGAGTTCTATTTTTGTCAGGTTTGTGGCCTGTATCTGTTGCTCTGGAATCACTTGTAAGCTATTGCTTTGTGTTATCATAAAATCACAAAATGAGTAAAAGGGTAGGGACATGCTATGACTAAAACAACCGTCATGTGATTTTGATAGATTTGTTCACTGCTATTGAAATAAGATGGATCCTGTCTCTCCAGAAAGAAGGAGGTTGTTACCCTCTTCTTCACTTGTTAACAATGCAAGTAAAAGGAAGTACAAACCTTTCAACTGCTTCAGTAACTACTGTAAGGAATTAAAGTCTCGTTTATTGAGTTTACCATTAATCCTCCTACTGATTTATTCTCTGCCAATAACAGTTAGCTATTCGATTTTTGAAATTTTTTTCAGACATTTTTCTCACAACCCTTACAACCAATGTGGATCTATTGGGTCTGGTAATAATACAGTATTTCATAATCTTGGAATTATAGTTTTAAATGCTCTCTTTCTTCTTGCCCCTTTCTGTGGTTGGTTATCAGATACTAAGATTGGTAGGGGTAATGCTATTTATCTTGGTCTATGGCTTGGTTGGATAGGCACTTTATTGTTTGCCATTGGATGCTGTTTGCAATATAATTCATGTGGCACTACTGCTCTCATAGTAGGAGGATATGTGTTTTTTGGCATAGCTTTTGTTTTCATGTTAGTCTCATTGTCACTTTTGTTCACTAATATATTACCATATGGTATAGATCAGTTGATGAATGAATCTGCTATCAAAATAAGAGCATTTATTCACTGGTACTGGCTATGCCTTTATAGTGGCTACATATTTTTTGTTGTATCGAATGAGCTCATTGCTTCAGTTGTGGCTTTTGCTCTGTTTTCTTTTTCTCTTTGTCTTCATTTTCTTTTTAAGCATCGTTTTGAGCACATACCTATTCCTAATCCTTATAAAATTGTATTTAAAGTATTGAAGTTTTCTCTCAAAACTAGTCGCACTAGAAGACAGCATCGTAGTGCATTCACATACTGGGGAGAGGAGCCCAGTAGAATGGATATTGCTAAGGAGAGGTATGGTGGTTGTTTCTCTTATGAAGAAGTGGAAAATGTAAAGACTTTTCTACGTATTGCTGTTGTTTTGGCAGCTGTTTTCTCCTTATTTGTCTCTAATTTTCCCTTTTTTAATAGTTCCTCGTATTTTGTTGCACAATTTAAAAATGGTTATGAAGGAATTGCTGCCAATGCTATCTGGCTTTTAAGCAACATCATCCCTTTGTTTGTTCTGGTCCCTTTGTTTGAACTGGTTATTCTACCTCTCTTCCCTAAATTTGAATATTTTATAATTAATCCATTGAAAGGACTTGGTTTGGCTAACATTCTTATTTTATTGTCTATTGTTAGTTTATTCCTCATTGACTTGATTGGAAGGATTACTAGCAGCATTTCTGAAATGCCTTGCTTCTTCATATGGGAACCAGTTAATAAAACTATTCAAATTTCATATTGGATACTACTCATACCATCAGTATTAGCTGGTACATCATTATTTCTCTCTTACACATGTATCCTGGAGTTTATGTGTAGTCAGTCTCCTTATGGTATGCATGGAATGATCATTGGACTGTTCTGGTTTTTGCACGGTGTATTCCTTGACATTGCTGCAGGCTTTTTATTAATAGTTTATTATCACCCTATACCGTCAGTCTCGTTTATGTCATGTACCTCATGGCTTTTTATGATATTTGGTATAATTACTGGTATAGGATTAGTGGTGTATGTATTAATAGCTCGATGGTATGTCAATAGGGTCAGGGATACTGATCTTGGTCTACGTGCAGCAGTAGAGGAACATTGGGAGAATAGACTGATCACAGCAAATGCCATAAATGACAGTGAAGCATCAGAAGATTTTATTATATCTAGTTTTGATTGACATTTGTAGTTGCTACATTTTTTCAGAAAATATCTTTTATTTTTATAACCTTATAAATTTTGTAGCAGCTGATGCTTTTAGCAAAATGTTCATAAGCATGTTGTTGGAATAGCATCTCCTGGAGCAACAGCAGCAGCTATGTACTGTAACAATTAGGGCAATCTAGAGGAAACAGCCAATTGAAAAAATACAAATTCTGTTATTACATCTGCATGACAAATTTTGATATCATGAAAGTGATGCCTGTGATTTAGCTTGCTACATTCCAGTTGTCACTTTACAGTGGTGTAGTCATATATGTGGTTTTTTGGCAATGAATGTATTGCTACCTATTACAGATACAAATATATAGCATGTGATGTTCTCATGTTTTATACTCAAAAGGAGGTTAATGTCATCATTGGTCATTGTCTCCTTTGTATTTCACTAAGAAGACCAATTTCAAGGTAATGTTGTCCAACTCTTTCTGCTTCTTCAAAATCATTAACACCTTTGATAACCAATGCATTCCAGCATAATGACAGAATAAGAGCAATAGATGACAAGAGAGCAACCATCAGTGTAAGAAGTTGTTTCTAGATGGATCCGGAACTCTCTGTGTACTATTGTAATTATATATTATGTGTTTATTCAAGTATATTCTAGAACAATCATGTAAAGTATTCTTGTATGTTATAGAACCTTCTGGACATTTATAATATCTATATAAGTGTGTTGTTAGTTAGTTGTGAGTTTAGTTTTTAGTTTTTGTTTTGTTAGTTGGTTTTTGAGCTCAGTTGAGTTTCGGGTTGATTAAGAATAAAGTTTGGTTAACAGATAGTTGGAGCGTCTGTTACATTTTTTGGTGGCAGCGGTGGGATAGTTCTCAAACGGTTGTAGAGGAAAGACCCACTATTGTATCTCTGCAAGAGAGAGAGACTAAAGTTTATAGTGTCTGGTGTGACTGTTTATGTCGGATAACAGTCGAGAGAATCAAGGGCGGTATTCTCTACGGGACTTACCAAGACACGACTACAGAGGACAGTTGCGAGGATTACATAATTTCAGAGAGAGTTATACTTCAGTTGATACGGAAGACTGTACTGAAGTGGAAGAAAGTCTTATTACAGGAGTTAGTGATCCGATGGAGCAATTAGCGGCAGCTTTGGCAAGTTTAGCAAAGCTTCAGGAGGAGGCCCAGAGACAAGCTGAAGAACGTCGTCGAGAAGAGGAGCGACGGCGAGAGGAGCAAGCTGAAGAACGTCGTCGAGAAGAGGAGCGACGAAGAGAGGAGGCCCAGAAACAAGCTGAAGAACGTCGTCAAGAAGAGGAGCGACGAAGAGAGGAGGCCCAGAGACAAGCTGAAGAACGTCGTCAAGAAGAGGAGCGACAAAGAGAGAGACATTATGAAGAGATACAGGCCATGCAGGAGCAGCATATGCAGCAAATAGAGATTATGAAAGGAGTTCTAGCAGAAAGAGAAGGGAATAGTCCTCATTTAAAAATATCACCATATCAAGAAACAGAGGATATCCAAGACTTCATTGAAGCATTCGAAGGTATTATGAAGATACAAGGGGTGAATCGGACAAATTGGATTCTACGTCTGACACCGTTACTAAGTGGCAAGGCTAGAACTGTTTGTACTGATCTGGGAACTACTACTGATTATGATGGAGTCAAGAAAGCTATTTTGGAGCATTATAACATCAACACAGAGAGATGTAGAAGAAAGTTCAGGAGTCATGTTTGGACAAGAGATCAAGACCCAACTGATTGGATAGCTAGAGGAGTCAAACTGGTGAAGAGATGGTTAGTACCAGAGAATGGAATGGAACAGGTAGTTAACAAGATTGCAGTAGAGCAGCTTTTNAATGGGTTACCACAAGAGATGAGAATCTGGGTAACTT